GCAAAGAAAGGGAGAGCGGTGCAGACTTACTGCTCAGCCGGGGTGAAAGTTCACGGTGTTCAGAGGGACACCATTGGGCTGGTTCCATCTAGGTAAGTTAAGTCACCTTCGCGTGGGCCCCAGAAACCAAGGCAGGAGTCCTGGGCACTGCAGGCACTAAGGGTGGTTTGTAAGAGAAACCTGAGTTTGTGATGAGAAGGGTATGGCCCAAGAAGTGACCCGGCGTCTCTCCAGCTAAACGTGGTGTACTGCGTGCTTAAGAGCTGGGTGTTTAAGAGCGGTGGCTCACGTCTGCAGTCCCAGCACTTTGGGAAGCCGAGATGGGAGGATCGCTTGAGGCCAGGAGTTCCGAGTTCAGCCTAGAGAACATAGGGAGACCCATCTCTACCAAAAAAAAAAGTTTTTTTTAATTAGCCAGGTATGATGGCGTGCCTATAGTCCCAGCTACTAGGAGGCTGCAGCTGGAGGATTGCTTGAGCCCAGTAGGTCAAGGCTGCAGTGGGCTGTGTGATCACACCACTGCACTCCAGCTTGGGAGACAGAATGCGATCCTGTCCAAACAAAAACAAAAACACAAAAAGTGCTGGACTCTGAAGCCAGGCTGCCTAATGTGATTCCAAAGCTCAGGAGATGAAGATGACAGTCCTACCTGATAGGATTGTTGGGGAGATGAAATGACTTAATTTGAGCACATGATAAATGTTAGCTGCCGTTGTTATTAGATTTGTATTGAAAGCATCGTCAGTAAGGTTAAGAGGTAGAAGGAAAAAAATGAACAGGAAATGCCAGTCATCAGCTATGAGGGGATGTGCACTTCTGTTGAAAGATGCTCTAATGATGCAGTTGCTATATACAGCACAATTTACATATCTCATTCCATCTCCACGATGCTCCTAGGAGATAGATATGCACGTTTTACACATGAAAAACACCTGTAAAAGCATCCAGAATTTGGCCTAAGGCTGAATGGAATGATAAAGGTGTTTGGAGACCAAGAAGGGGGAGTTAAAGATATTTACACATCCTCCCCACCATCTCTGCTTTCTACCATATTTTTTATTTCCAGGACAGTTGAACTGTAATGCAACGTTCAAAATTCCTCCAAAGGAACCACTGCAGTACTGCATGATCATTCCTCCATTTCTGCATGAATATTTCCCACTTTACCAATGAATTAACCAAAACTAAAAATCCACCCTCTATCTGTTATCTTTTGCTACCTGTACAACAGGTACAAAACTTCAATGCACTGCATGCTGTATTTTCTTCAATGCTGGTGTTTTCCATAAATGTATTTCTCTGGATATGCCTTCATTTATTTCCCTTTTTGTTTGCTCTACCCTTCTTTGGTGGTTCAATCCCAGACTCTCCAGGGAGAGCTCTCCATCTTAACCAGAACCCAGAAAGGAGAGAGAGAGAGAAAGGAAGACAGAAAAAGAGAATATAGACTTTACATACCCTGAAAATGATTTGGTTTACATAAATGATTTGTTCTTAGAAGCCGATAAAGCTTGCCTAGAAACTGGTATAATTATAACAGAAATTTATATAGCACCAACTATGTGCCAGGTGCTGTTTTAAGAACATTGTGTGGAGCCTTGAGGGTACTGCATGCCTGTGGAATGGGCTGACATGAGTCTGATAATCAAGGGCCAGTGCACCCTGGCACCCTGGTGTAAGTGACCTGGCTCTTTTTGGGCCCTGGCCAGCCCTTTCAGAGGACCATAAGCCACCTCCCTTTCATCAGAATGACCCTTAGGAGGAGGGGCCAGAGCACCCACTAGCCCAGAGTCAAGGGTTGCTCTTGTCCATCTCACTTCCTTATCTGTCTTCCACTTAAAAAAACATTTTTTTCTGGGCACGGTGGCTCACGCCTGTAATCCGAACACTTTGGGAGACCAAGGCAGGTGGATCACCTGAAGTTGGGAGTTCAAGACCAGCCTGACCAACATGGAGAAACCCCATCTCTACTAAAAATATAAAAAAATTAGCTGGGTGTGGTGGTGCATGCCTGTAATCCCAGCTACTTGGGAGGCTAAGGCAGGAGAATCACTTGAACCAGGGAGGCAGAGATTGTGGTGAGCTGATATCAAGCCATTGCACTCCAGCCTGGGCAACAAAAAGCAAAACTCCCTCTCAAAAAAAAAAAACAAAAAAAAACAACTTTTTTTTTTTTAAAGACAGTCTAGCTCTGTCGCCCAGTCTGGAGTGCAGTGGCATGATCATATCTCACTGCAGCCTCAAAATCCTGGGCTCAAGTGATCCTCCTGCCTCTGCCTCCCTAGTAGCTGGGACTATAGTCATGTGCCACCACACGCAGCTCTACCTTCCACTGTGTCCTCTGACCTTACCACTGCACTTAAATAGCCTCTGTCAAGGTCATTAATGATCTCTACGTTACTATAATAGTCACTTCTCTGTTTTAATTTTTCTCTATTTCCCAGCAGCATTTGAAACCATCCATCAATCCCTCCTTCTTGAGACTCTTTTTTCCCCTTGACACTTTATTGTCACCCCCCCAACCCATCCACCTGTCTAGCCATTCCTTGTAGTTTCTTTTGCTGGCTCCTCCTCCTAGACTACCCTCTAAATATTAGAGTGGTGGCCAGGAGTAGTAGCTCACACCTGTAACCTCAACACTTTGGGAATCTGAGGTGGGAGGACCACTTGAGCCCAGGATTTTGAGACTAGCCAGGGCAACAAAAGGAGACCCTATCTCTACAAAAAAAAAAGTACAAAAAATTAGTCGGGTGTGGTAGCACGTGACTGTAGTCCCAGCTACCTGGATTACCTGAGCCCAGGAGGTCGAGGCTGCAGTGAGCCATCATCGCACCACTGTACTCCAGCCTGGGCAGCCCAGCAAGACCCTGTCTCTAAATAAATAAATAAATAAATAAATAAATAAATAAATAAATATTAGGGTGATCTGTCTTCTCAGCCTCCAAACTGGGGTCCCTTGTGTAACTACGCATTCTTTGAGCAACCTCATTTAGTCTTACGTAAATACCATGTAATACCATGTATATACCAGGGACTGCTAAGTTTAGATCTCCAGCTGTGCCTTCACCCCAGAACTGCAGACACACACCTCTACATGCCTATGTGACATTTCTAGATGTCCATTTAGCGTTTCAAACATAGTGCTGCCAGGCACAAGTCTTGATTCCATATCCCCTCCATACCATGGTTGATGCTGTCCCTTTCCTGGGCACCATCATCCACTCACCCCACCACCCCCACCCCAACACTCTCACACACCCTGCCCCCCCTCCGCCCCAACACTCCCACACAGCCTGCTCCCCCACCCCAACACTCCCACACATCCCGCCACCCCCACCCCAACACTCCCACGCAGCCATCTTTCTTCCTTTCTCAGCCAGTAAAACTACTGTTCTTTAAAAAACAATTCCAATGTAACTTCCTCCAGGAAGGCTTCTCTGACATTGTTCTCCATTTCCTACCCACCTTAAGCTGGGCTGGGCACCCTTACTCAATATTCTCGTAAAATCCAATGCACTTCTGTCTTTCTGGACCACACTCAAATTATCTAAATATTTGTCTGTTACTACACTGAGTTCTTTGAGCGTAGGAAGTATGCCATTCATTCCCATATCACCAGCCACATAATTTGTGGGATTAATGCATGAATGAATAAATCTCTCTGACTTAAAGAAAAGCACTGAAATGTTGACTCCTCGATGCTTGCCATATCATAAATGTTGTCACTCACCCTCAACTCTGGAAGAAAGATGTTTTACAGTGATCTCAGTCATCCCAATCTACATTTGTCAGGCAACAGTTGTTCAAATATGTAAGTTGCTTACCGATAGATTCATCCCAACTACTTCCACCTAGTCCTTTGTCTCCTGAATACATATTATCCAAGAGGATCCCGTAGGACACCATTCCCTCATCCACGTGCTATCATCCCAGTTTTCTTTCATGTGAGCCTCTAGCCAGAACTTCAATACCTGGCCACATAGAAGATGCACAAACTCAAGTTTCCTGCAGAACTGAGTTCAGGTTAGGCACAAACAGGTGGAAAACTCCCTCTGGAATTTCCTGGTGAGGTTCTAGACAGCCTGTTTGTCTTGGAAGTATTCTGCTTTGGGTCTGAGCTGAAAGGTACTAAAGACCCTCACAATCTCACCAGCAGGATGGAGCCAGCAGGACTTAGCCATGGGTTACTGCAAGACAGCTTTTTAAAGTATAGTAGATGACCAAAGAAGAAACATTTGAAAGTTACTCTTTTCCTCGATGAAGCATGTTTGGAGTTGAGAGGAATGCAACCCATGCCCCCATCCCACCCCTACACACACTAAATGAGAAGTGGCACTTTTCAGCTGCTT